TATATATAAATGTTTTTAAATATTTATTTATTTATTTAGGCGAAACGGATAAGTTGATGCAAGGAATATTTCATAATTATCCTGAAATCTGTGATAGGAAACTTAATAATGTATCTATGTCTCTGGAATGGTTTCAATTTTATGATTTAATAATATCGCTCGTTTTACACAAGCAGATTTGGTCACTTATGCCCTACACAAATTATGGATTTATTGCATGGCACTTGTATCTTGCACGAACACAGAAAATGAAATTATCATATCCCACCGTTACTAACGAAGTAAGTATTTTACATACATACACGTTAATGTTAAAAAATATGTTCCAAAATCAATTTTTTATGAAAGTTATATAATTTTTTTTCTATAATAAAGTTCCTCTGTACTTTATTTTGTCCAATTTTGACATGAAATATACAATAAATCTTGTAAACTATTTATTTTTTGGCAACTGTACCTTAATACTTTTATTTATAAAATAATGAAATAAATTAATTAAAAAAAAAGAGAAAACAATAAAACTTACTTTTTCAAAAAATTATGCAATTTGCAATGTGTAACTACATTTTTTTAAACAACTATGTTTTTTTACAACCGATTCATTCTGTGCATAAAAGAATGAAGGTACAATTACAAAATGATCAAGTGATGAAATGATCATTTAAATTCATACGTTGAAGTATTAACATGTAAGAATCATTGTATATATAATATACATATGTATTTTTATATAAATATTGTAATTCATTTATATAAATTTATATAAATTTTATATAAATATTGTCATCCATTTTTGGTACAATAAATATTGTACAATAATTCTTTGACAAATTTTTAAAATGTTTCATTATCCTTGTCATTTTTTAGATAATTCAAAAATCGGCGAAGAACACAGGTATTTTAACAGCAATACGAAGAGTATGTGGATATGATGTTTTTACTTTAACTACAGATATCGCTGGTTTTTTGCCGGATATTCTAACGCCCAAATTGCGAACAGTTCCTTCCCATTTATATTCGTCAAAAGAGAAATCTGATCTCGCCAGAATAATAAATGTAATGCTTGAATTTGGTTTATCGTTCGTGCAAGAAAAAAATTTTCAAAGAGGATACATCTATAATTTGGACCCGTATGTTATAATAATAGTTATTCATTAATAATGATGTTTGACATCCTATTTAGAATGGAACATCTTTTTTTTTTTAGTAATATTTTGGAAATTGGTGTTTTTCTTAATTGCAATGCGCATCGAAGTCTTGCATACGCAGTACAACAGATAATCACACAAGAGTTGGAGGTCGAACGTTTAAAGCGTGCGAGTATCTTAACAGGACTTGATGAAGTTAACATGGCAAAACCAGGAAATCCAAAAATTGTAGAAAACTCAGTTCAGAATATATCTTCCAATGTTGTAAATAATATGAAACAGTCCACAAAGGATGCGACATCATTAAAAGAAATAGTAATTTAGAAATAGTAATAGTAGTTTTATGTGTTTTTCTTTTTATTGTCAATCTCTTTATATTTAACAATTTTTCAGGTATACAAAGACTTTTTTGGAAATATCATTACGAGTGGAAATAAAAATGGTCAAAAACAGAATAAAATAATGAATCGTACATCCCCAAAATCACAAGAAAAATATTCTCTGATGAAAAATATTTTAACAAAACATGGAGTATGGTACAAATATAAAGAAGGTTGCAATAACGCCGTTCGTCGAAATGTATCCATGAAGAAATTTTTATAAATAGATTGACTTGAGTACAAACTGCGAGTACGTCTTTATTCTTATGCTTCCAAGAATGTATAGTATTCTTTTTTTTCTTTTTTTCATGTATACATAATATATTTAAAGAATTTTTCACAAAAACTAAACAAGTCCAGAAAATTACATTTTGAAGAAACAACTTCTCCTTTTCATTGTATGAATGATATTAAATAATTGTAGAAATAAATTTTTCTCTAGATATATAGTAAGTATAATACAAAATGTTAAACTTTGATTAATATTTGGAGGACATTTTTAAACAAATTAAAAACCTCTGGACTTGTTTAGTTCTTACGGAAATTTTATATTTATTACCTGTTTATCCTATGATATTATTTTAATTTATTTAAAAAAAAGCAGCAATAAAGCAAAATTAAATATTTAACGATTTTTTAATGTGGACATTATGATATTGCTTACTTTTGCGTCAGATTCCATATTTATGATATGCCGCTACAATCTTATAATTAATAAAAAAATTAGAGAAACAGTTCTGCTATATTAATATACAAAAAGAAAATAGAAAAAAGTTATAAATTAAAAATTATTTATCTCAATGCTTCAACTATGAGTTAGCGACTATTTATTTTTTGCTCTTAGATTTATAATCCTATTCACGTATACAAAGAAAAGGAAGGAAAATCAAATTTAGCATTAACTTTGCATAGTTGAATTGCTTCTAAATTAAAAAAAAAAACGAAGAAAACTGAGTATCAGCCAAATTATTTCACCATAAAGGGGAATGATAAAACTTAAGATCCAAGTGGCCGTGTTGATTAGTGCCAGTAGCCACTTCCTGACTGCACGACGGTGACGGTTTCACATTTTTTTCCGTTTTTTCAGCTTCCAACAGAACAGGGACGAACGACTTGGTTTGATTATCCGGCACAACAGGCGTCGGAACGGTGTTCATCTCGAGACTACGTTGCTTCTGCTCCTCTTCAGAGTAGAGGCTCAAGGAACGCGGCCGCTCCAGTTTCAACGGTGGAGGCGGTGATACATTGCCATTGTTGCTATTGCTGAAAAATTAACTTGCCTATCAAGTCGTGATAGGTGACAGGCAAGCAAGCAATATGCAATCGACAGCAATATACACTCACGTCACATAGTTTTTTCTGTCTTATCAGTCTCAAGTATGCGTAATCGGTCACGAGCGTATTCTCACCGAGGATCTCTTATATACAATATATACAAACTTCATTTCACACATACAATTGTATGCGCAGTTAACAATTAATATAAAACATGCTTCGCTCATGCTGATGAATGTAAAACATTAAAAAAAAACCACACAATTTTTTATGCAAACATAATTATAATATTGAAATATAATACCATGTAAGAACATTATAAAACATTGTTTACATTGAAAAAAATTAATTGCGTGAACAGAACAGCGCGACGAAATAGAATTTTTATTTTTCTTATTCGAATAAATATCAAGTTTTACAATCATATAATTAATGTAAAAAAGTACATAGTTGACAATCATTACGATTATTTTTGCATCGATAGAATTTATTTTTTCATGATACGTAAATCGATTATTTATTTTGATATTTATAATATATAAATATTAAATAAATAAATATTAAAAAGTTGCGATTGCAAGTTTTATTTCTTAAAATACTTTTATACATTTAGGATTGCATTTTAAAACACTGATGTTCTAGATAGATCATAAATAAAATATTCAATAAAGTTAAAAAAAATTCTTTTACGTGTACAAAAGTTGAAAGATATTCAAATTCCTAATTTTACATCTTTTTAATTAAAAGGAATGTAAATGTGATTGTGTGCAAATTAGCAAATAAAACTTTATTAACTCATATACATATAATTACTAATAGTTACAAACATACAAACTTATAAACTACAATTTAATTTTAATACATACAGCGCATCAAATAAATATATATAATGTACATATTCTTATGCTCATAAATTATAGCTCATAAATTAAGCTGGAATGCGTGCGTGCATGCGTGCGTGTAAACAAACATTTTTGACAGGATGTTGGCGTCTTCTGTTTTACTGATAGAAATAATTTTTGTACTAATTTTTCATAGGATGAAAGATCATATTATTGACATATATATTAAGTATGTAGTTATACTTAATTTTGTGTGTGTGTGTGTGTGTGTGTGTGTGTGTGTGTGTGTGTGTGT